TTAATAAATCTCATAAACGCATTGCATTTGGGTTGGAGTCAATTCATCATTGGCCCTCCCTTGCATTCCTGAGGCTGGTAATCATTCTGGAGGAGAGAACCCACTTTTCTCCTGATGAATTCAAACCACCAGGAAGGCACAGAGTCTGGGTTAGAAATGTTATTCTCAACAGACTTTGCCATCAGAGCTTCCCTAATAAACCCACAATCATGATGAGTGTGTGTTCTGCACGGAAGTAGAGATAGTCACCCTCGATGAGATGGATCTATTCTGTTGTGAGTGGGGTAATGGGAATGAGTGTGTTTGACACGACAAGGTTGGCACAGGATGGAGCGGCATTTAGGGCTCTTGTACATAGGGTTGCTATGAGTCGCAAGTGACTCAATGGCACATAACAACAACTACAATGTCAGAACTGATTTTTTTTTTCAATTCTGTCATCTTTTTTCATTGTCCAGCTCTCTGATGCATAACAAGTATCTGCAAAGGCATGGATCAGGCACACCGTAGTCTCTAGACTGGCATTGTTGCTTTTCAACACTCTGGAGAGGTCCCTGACAGTAGACTTCCCCAAAGCAATTTGTCTTTTGATTACACTGCTGGTGTTAAGAGTGTTGACTGTGGAGCTGAGCAAGCAGTAATTGCTAACAACCTCGATCTCTTCTTCATCCTTCATGGTGCTGCCAATTGGCCCAGTGGTGAAAATCTTTGTCTTCTTGATGCTGAGCTTTAATCTATATTGAAGACTACAGTCCTTGACCTTCTGCAGCAAGTGCTTCAAGTCCTCCTCAGTTTTAGCAAGCAAGAGTCTATCATCTGCATAAAGCAGGTTGTTGATGAGTCTTCCTCCAATCCTGATGCCACACTCCTCCTCATAAAGTCCAGCCTCCCAAATGATCTGTCACAGAATTGATTTTTTTTAAAAAAGATTGGAGTTAGAGAAGAGACAGGTCTGATCATCTTAGGGGAATCAGCCTTGGGCTGTTGATCTTGTTTTTCTCTCCTCCCCGTCCTGAAGTTACAGGAAGTCAGATGCCCACATGTTGCCATTTTGGACACGGGAGGGAACGGACCAGTGGGGGAACAAGTGTTGAGTGGGTAACAAATAGAGTGTACCTCACCATGTATATATGTCTGATTATTTTTGTTGTTTAGAGGCTCATGTGTAAAAGTTGGATTATGGAGAGTAGATTCTCTTGATTTAGTTGAAAGTCAGGTTGTTTTTTATTTTGTTAACAATCAAATGTAAGCGGATTGGTCACCTGGATTTAATTAACAATCAGCAGTGGGCTGGAAGCCTCTTGTTTAAGTCAATTCAAACCTGAAAGGTGGGCCTTTGTATTTAAAAGTAGGCTGGACCCTGAGTAAGTCTCCAGTTTGTAGGCTCATGTGTGAAGCACTTGGATTCTGGAGGGTAGGGTCTCTTGATTTAGTGTTTATTGTCTTTGGGGAGAACATTCTTCTAAATGATGGAGTACTTGTCTGTCAGTTTGCTGTACTGAGATAACTTGCGTTTGCTGGGATACTGAATGTTGTGCCACTGGTGTGTCAAATGCCATAATAGTTACCCATGGTGGTCAGGGTTTGGTAGAGTTTCCAGATTAAGATAGACTTGGAAGCATGATTGGCATTCTCTTCCTATATAACCGACGTTTGGAAACCCAATGAACATTAGATTAATGACAATAGATATACAACAGGATTCAAGTCTTTTGTGTATAGGCTGCTGTGAGTTGTACTCGACAAGTACAATAACATTTTGTTATTGTTATCTGCCATGGAGTCATATCTGACTCATGACTGACTCACCAGTGGGTTTTTAGAGGCTGACAATTTCATGAGAGGAGATTGTCCATCTTTCTCCTGAAGAGCAGTTGGTGGATTTGAACTCGATAGCACAACTCCTTACCATTAAGCCATGAGAGATCCCTGCCTGATGACTACACTTCAGTTATTTCTAACTCATTCTATGCCAGTTTAGACCAATTCACAAAACATCAGCCTATGCTTCTTAGTCCAGGACTTAATTTCTGATCTCCTACTCACACCTGAGCTTTGATTGGACCTATAGTCAGCCCCTGACCCAACTAGTCAAACTAGATTATCTCCCTCTCCCTCTCTCTCTCCTTCTCTCCTTTTCTCTCTCTCTCTCTCTCTCTCTTTCTCTCTCTTCCTCTCTCTCTCCTTCTCTCTCTCTCCTTTTCTTTCTCTCTCTCCCTCTCTTTCTCTCTCTCTCTCTCACACACACACTTTCAAACATGCTCAGCTTTCTTTAACTAAAAATAGTAATGTACGGTGGAGGTAAGAAGTAGGCTAGGTCATGGAGTTATGATGAAGAAGCAGATGACGTCCTTTGGAAAAAATGGGAAGAGAGAGATCAGAGGAAGGTCTTTAAGGTGGGAGAGAAGGCTCTCACAGGCCTTTGGTTCTGAAACTTTTCCGCTTCCATTTCAGAATATTCTTTTGCCTCCCCATTCTACTTGGGTTATGTAAAATTGCCATGGCAGTTGAGGCCTCTGATCGGCTCAAACTTTAAAAAGTGGAAAGAGAATCAGAGTTGGCAGCAACACTCCCAGTTGTGTCCTGTGAGATGGAGGCCCAGCGTGCTTCCACTCTGCAGCCTGTTTACCACTTCTGACACCAGACTTTTCGTCCTGCAGGACTCAGTGTTCTGCTGAGGGCAACAAGATAGATTGGCACAATGATGGTAACAGGGGGCTCAAGCATGTGAGAGATGGTTAGGATGGTGCAGCATAGCGCAAGGCTCAGATCTGTTGTTCATAGGGTTACTATGAGTTCTAATCAGTTCCATGACACCTGTTGTTGTTGTTGTTATGTGCCGTCGAGTCGCTTGTGACTCATAGTGACCCTATGTACAACAGCCCTAAACTCTGCTCTGTCCTGTGCCAATCGCACTGTCTCCGACACTCCCATCCCAATTATCCCAGTCACCGAATCAATCCACCCCATAGAGGGCCTTCCCCTCCTGCACCGTCCCTCCACCCTCCCAAGCATGATGTCCTTCTCCAAGGACCGGTCTCTCCTCACAGCATGTCCAAAGTGTGTTAGACGGAGCCTCAGAATCCTTGCCTCCAAGGAGCCACCCGGTTTAACCCTTTCCAGGACAAATCTGTTTGTTTTCCTAGCAGTCCATGGTATTCTCAATACTCTTCTCCAGCACCACAGCTCAAAAGCATCAATTCTCCTTCTATCCTCCTTGGTCATTGTCCCATGACACCTAACAACAACAATAACAAGATAGCCTGTTGTCGACTGAGGGCAAAGTATTAATAACGAGACAGAACACCAAAAATGAGATAAAACAGAGAGCATAAAACAGGGGATGAACAGTTCCAACAACTGAAACAGCCACAAGCCATTCCTCTCTGAGTCTTTATTGAGAATCATGGGAAGTGACTAATAAAGAGAATTCTTTTGTAAATGAAGCCGAGTTTGTCCTCTATTATCAACCTAATACTTAGCTCAGAAAGGAAGTAGTTCACAAGTATAGACTTTTAACACTTCCTCTGCAGGTGGACTTAGCTGTCATTGGTCAGCAAGAAGCACCTCATTTCCTGTGATCTGTCACAAGAGGAATTCCAGTTTATATTTTGCTTCCTTCAATTCCTGATTAAGCATATGATTTATCATATACTATTTGGCTTCTCATAATAGTCAACACCATAATCTAGAGGGAGAAAGTGGCTTATTCGTGACCTCTCACTATTATAGACAGAATGTATTCCCCCTACACTAACATGGATTGGGATTTTAGAATATATAAAGGCAACTCTGGTGGCCTGTTGTTGTGTACCATCTTGTTGAAACTGAGGCATAGCTGACCTTCCAGCAGGTTTTCGGAGACAGCTAATCGCACAGGAGGAGATTTCCCATCTTTTTTTCCCATGGAGCAGCTGCTGGATGTGAATTGCATGCCTTTGGGATTGCAGTGCAGCTTCTTTCCACAAGGCCACCAGAGCTCCCTAAGCATTGGAATGTTAACTCCTATACTTGTGGATGTAACCCTATTTGGGAATAATTTTCACTGTTGCACAAATGAGGCCATTGCCAATGTAAGGAGTGTGTGAGCCAATCACTTTTTTCAAAAAAAATTTTGTTTTATTATTTTTCTGCATGTGTACCATCAAATCATATCTGACTGGTACAGGAGGAGATTGTCCCTCCTTCTTCAGCAGAGCATCTGGTGGATTTGAACCGTGCACCTCTGGGATTGCAGTGCAGCTTCTTGCCACTAGGCCACCAGAGCTCACCAACCAATCACTTTTAAGATATGAAAAGAGAGAATTAAGCCTAGCAAGCAGAGATGGGTAAAGACAGATGCTTCACCAAGTAATTGTTCAACAGCAAGTGCAATAATGCAAGGACCTTCCTCCAGAACCAACCTTCTAGAAAAGCTTTTCTCTAGATCTACTTCCTGGAAGTCAGACTACTAGCCGCCTAAAATGTGCAGAAATAAATTTCTGGTTGTTAAAGTCACATACTTGTGACATTTCCATTACAGGAGCTTTAGTTAACCAAGGTAGAATTTGGATACCAGAAACCGGGCACTGTTCTAAACAGATACCTAGAATGTGGAAACTGTCTAATTCGGACAATGTGGAATTGTCTATGGGTGAGAGACACAGAAAGGAGGCTACACACACACACACACACACACACACACACACACACACACAGAGTCCATTTCTCCTCAGACATTTTATTTCTGGGACCTTATTAGGGTCACGGCTGTAGAGAAAAGATAGACCTTGAACCTGAGGAAAGTGGCACTGTGGAGACTGGTCATTCTGGAAATGTTCTCCAGGATTCAGCCATAATGATATGGTAAGCATGTGGTCAGATAAGGCGACTTCTGAATCCAGAAGATACTGGGAAAGCAAGCGCTGGAGAAATCCAGAAGTAATGGGTCCGGAAGAAGTGTCTGTAGGAGGTGGAACTTGTAGTGGAGAGAGGAGCTGAATTCTGGGTCTCGGGTTGACTCATGAGTTCTTTCGAATGGTGTCGTGGATCCACTTGGTGAACTGGCAAAGGTTGGTGTAGACACCGGGCTTGTTGGGCTTGCCACAGGGGAAATCTCCCCAGGACACGAGCCCCTGGAGGGAGTCATTGCAGACGACGGGACCCCCGGAGTCACCCTGTAGGGGGAAGAGGAGAAGGAGGCATGGAGAGAGGAAAAATATGGAGAGGTAGAAAGGAGGAGACAAGAGACTCCCAGAAAGACAGAGATGGGAATGGACAGCCACAGACAAAGACATGGAGACCGAAATGACAGAGACCCAGAAAAAGACAGAGAGATACAAGAGGAAAGAGAAGGAGAGACAGAGAGGAAGAACATTAGTAAAACTTCACTCTGAGTCCAACCTTTAGAACTCTCAGTTACTTCATTGTGGTTTGAAAGGTTGGAGGGTCAACGAATGAGAGGAAGACCCTCAACAAGACTGATTGACACAGCAGGTTCCATGCCACAGTGGGCTTGAGTGTGTCAGAGATGATGAGGTTGGCACAGGCTAGAACAAGTCTCAATCCATTCTTCAAAGGGTCACTATGAGCCATACTCAACTCGACAGCACACAACAACCGCCGAAAGGAGTCCTGAAGGCACAATGATTCATATCTCAGCTGCTAACTAAAAGGCCAGCGGTTCGATCCCCCATCACATGTCAGAAAGAGATGGCTGTTTGCTTCTCGAAAGGTTTTCAACTCTGTAGTTCTTACAGGACCATGATGATTCTAAACAGACTCAAGACAAAGGGCACAGGGTTATCCAACCCCGAAAGTTCTTGGGTGGTGCAGACAGTCTGCACTGGGACTGTGAGTTTAAAAGGTTGGTGGTTCGAACCCACTCAGCAATAGAAAAAGCCTGGCAGCCTGTTCCCATTAAAAAAATTATTGTTGTTGTTGTTGTTATGTGCCGTTGAGTTGTTTGTGACTCATAGCGACCCTATGTACAACAGCCTCAGCAATAGAAAAAGCCTGGCAGCCTGTTCCCATTAAAATAATTGTTGTTGTTGTTGTTGTTGTTATGTGCCGTTGAGTTGTTTGTGACTCATAGCGACCCTATGTACAACAGCCCTAAACTCTGCTCTATCCTGTGACTGGACACTCCTTACATGTCCAAAGTATGTCAGACGAAACCCCAGAATCCTTGCCTCCAAGGAGTAGCCTGGTTTAACCCTCTCCAGGATGAATCTGTTTGTTTTCTTGGCAGTCCATGGTACATTCAGCACTCTTCTCCAGCACCACAGCTCAAAGGCATCAGTTCTCCTTCTATCCTCCCTAGTCATTGTCCAACTCTCTGATGGATAACAAGTAATAGCAAAGACCATGGCCTGTATCAGGCGCACCTTAGTCTCCAGAGAGACACCGTTGCTCTTGAATACTTTAGTCAAGAAAAACCAATACAGCAGCAATGCAGCTATTTAACACCTGGGGTCACCACTAGTCGAAATGGACTCGACATAACTAACATCAGCTAATCTCTCTCCAGATATCTTCACCAAGTTTAAACAAATTATTGTGATTTTGGTATGGATTCATAGAGAAAATTGGTTTTCCTTTCAACAGTTCATGCATGTTTTGTTTCCAGACATTGACTGCAACCCCCACAATGCAGCAGCACTCTTCCCACTCCATTCCTATATTTCCTGTTTCCGTTTGTCCATCTTTCCTATCCTTATATGTCTCCCAAACTTTACCCCTGGGAAAATTACTGCCTTTTGGTCTTGCATGGTTGCTTGTTCACTGGATTGTTATTCATCTTAATGCTGTTACATGCTGGGGAGTCTGAACCCTCCAGTGAGGTGGCCCAGTGGCAAGAAGCTGTGCTGCGATCCTGAAGGCACGTGGTTTGAAACTACCAGCTGCTCCATGGGAGAAGGATGGGCATTCTCCTCCTGTGTGAAAACGTGCTGGAGGGTCAGCTATGGGTCGGTCCCAAACAGATGATACAAAACAGTAACAACAACAGATCACACAGGAAGTGATTGCTCATCTTTCTCCCTCAAATCAATGAGTGGATCTGAACCGACTGCCTTTAGGTTGGCAGAGAAAGAAACTCTTTACCACAAGCTGCCAGAGTTCTTTAATCACCTTCTAGGACCTGCCTAAGGATTAAATGGAAGTTGAGTCCCTGGGTCTTCATTTCAGACTCTGCTTCTCAGCACTTTTTTCCTTTTGTTTTTCTATCTTTCTCATGTTTGTCTCTTTCTCTCCCCTCGAAACTTTGGATGTATGTTATGGCAACATCATAATGGATGGTGATGAGATTGAGATTTTTCAGTTTTGGTTTGCTTGGCTCCACAGTCAACATTTTTGGCACCAGCAGCCAGGAAATTGAAAGACGTATTGCCATGGGAAAGTCTGCTGTTAGGGACCTCTCCAAAGTACTGAAGAGCAATGGTGCCACTCTGGAGACTAAGGTGCACCAGATACAGGCCATGGTCTTTGCAATCATTTGCTATGCATCAGAGAGCTGGACTAGAGATGATAGAAGGAAAATCAATGCCTTTGAGCTGTGGTGCTGGAGAAGAGTATTGACTATACCATAGACTGCTAAGAAAATAAATAGGTTCGTCCTGGAGAGGATTAAACCAGGCTGCTTCTTGAAGGCAAAGATTCTGAAGCTTCCTCTGACATACTTTGGACATGTTACATCCTTGGAGAAGGACATCATGCTTGGGAGGTTGGAGGGACAGTACAGGAGAGGAAGACACTCTACGAGATGGATTGATTCAATGACTGGGGGTAATCGGGGTAGGTGTGTCGGAGACAGTGAGGTTGGCACAGGACAGAGCAGGGTTTAGGGCTGTTGTACATAGGGTCGCTATGAGTCGCAGGCAGCTCAATTGGCACATAACAACAACAATGTGTACCTAATAGAAATGTCATGAACAATCCATAGAATTCATGTATTAACGCTATAGACATTATAGAATTCATATAATTAACCTTTTAGAAATCATACAGTTCATATATTAATGTCATAGGGATTATGGAATTCGTATATTAACTTTCTAAAAATTAGTTCATATATTAACTTTATAGAAATGATAGAATTCATGTATTAACTCTGGAGAGACAACTGAGATGATTAGTATTACATGACAGTGTTGTTTTTGTTGCCATTGTGTTAGAATGGGCTCTATGCTGACCACCCCCTCCAGTGGGTTTTCAGAGGCTGTAAATCACATGGGAGGAAATAGCCAATTTTTCTCCAAGGAGCAGCTGGCAGATTCGAAACACTTGCCTTTGGGTTGGCAGCGCACCTCCTTACGCACTAGGCCACCAGAGCTACCTTGCATGGCAAAGTTGTTGTTGTTGTTATGTGCTGTCGAGGCGTTTGCGACTCATAGAGACCCTATGTACAACAGCCCTAAACCCTGCTCTAGCCTGTGCCAATCGCATTGCCTCTGACACACGCATCCCGATTACCCCAGTCACTGAATCAGTCCACCTCATGGAGGGTCTTCCCCTCCTGCGCTGTCCTTCCACCCTCCCAAGCATGATGTCCCTCTCCAAGGACCTGTCTCTCCTTACAACATGTCCGAAGTATGTCA